TTAGAACAGAGCCTCTTCTCCATAATGTTGTTATCATTTCCCGAAGATATTTTTTTTAAGTCTAAATTTCGAAATTCAAGTTTTCAATTTAATTTATGATTTCTGAAAATTTGGTCAAGTGGGTGTTACATTTGTAAAAGGTGTCTTCTTGCGCCAATTATCAAACTTTCTCGAATAAAATATAAATGATGATATGTCAAAAAATCGTAGATATTTTCAAACAATAAGCAATTAATTTTAGATGCAAATTAAGCTACATAAAGCACATAATATATTTGTTTATGACAACAATTACTTTTACGTATCCACTTAAAAGAAAGTAGCATCATAAGCAAAACAATAGAAATGGTTTGGGAGAAGAAGAGCTACTAAAATCACAGATTAAATCGACCAGTGATGAAATACCGATCAGCAAAGCAAGCACCGGAGAGATAATAGAAAGATATGCAACAACTTTCTATATAAGTAGCTAAAGAAACACAACAATTTCCTTTATGGAAAAGTTGGCATATTTGTCTGTTTAAACATTACTAAGCATTAAACATATCAACATTGATTTTTGTACATATGATGTATCAGATTACCCATAACTATTTATATTTACAACATGAAGAAAAAGAAAATGATAACAATTATATTTATAGATTGTAAATCACATCATAAATTGAAAATACATTCACACAAAATATATGTTTCTAATCTCTTTTAAAGGTTTTTTAAGTAAATGACCATTTTCAGGAAAATATTTTCATAAATTAAAAAATCCATTCATTTTAATGATTTTTGTATGAATCTATTTTTAGCTTTTTTATATCTATGAATATCAACCATCAGGGCATAATGGTCAATGGTTGGAATAATTCCAGTGGCAATTCCTAATTAAAAAAAAATAGTAGCATCGAATCAACGAATCCAATAACATTATCATGCTATAAAAAGATTATTGTTGTAATAAATATGTATACTTGAAGGTTTTGTATAAGAGGAAACAGTATTCTGATTGCCTAGTGTGTATCTTCTATTATGCTTGAGAGAAATCATAACGTACATTCATCTTTTTCTATACGGTTGTGCACATTGTGCATATCTGAAGTTTGGATCTTGGGAGAATCAAGATTCATCATAGTCACCTTCTCAAAGTCCACAGGTCTAATGGTCCATTCTAAACAAAAGATTCAAGTTTCATCAAACAGTTCTAAAACATAGCTTAAAAGCAAAATTGCAACTCACCAATAAGTCATTCGTAGGCTCAAATTTTGCCACTTCAAATGAAGTTGAATCCCAATACACATTCAACTGTTTTGCTACAACAATTAACACTTTCATTTTTGTCTGGATATAATGTGCAATAGCAGATAACTTGTCAACCATGTGAAAAATTAGAAGTATTTCTATAAGAAAATTATTATTGTTATATATTGATATTTAAAACGATATAATTAGCATTTAATACCTTTGTTTCTCTAAAGAAGCGAGACACAAAGACCCAATAGCCTTCAAGTATGATTCTTAATGATATTCATAGTCAAATAATTTAGAGAAAACATGAAAAGATGTTTTGGAATCAAAATTTAGAAACCTGGTTCTAGCATTTCATCGAGTAGTGGGTGTGCATAGTCAAACTTGCTCTCAAATATCAACATAAGCGGGCCTATATAACTGAATAGTGTTCTTGGGGTACGACGGCTGCAAGTAAACTGACCCACATCAACATCTCCGCACAAGAACCACCACAATCACAAAATCGATTTTTGGTGTAGATTTTAAGAGAAACAATGCAATGTACCTTAAAGGGGTTTTTACTTGAGAAAGAACAAAGGAAGCCATAACTGAAATTTGAGAAATGGAATGAAGACGTTCGTCTACTTTTTCCGCCTCTTGTCATTGGGCCGACCAACTTCCTCACCGATTTCAGAGACATCATCGTCTTCGTCGATATTTGTCTGCATCGGAAAACTAATATGGAGAATACCTCTAAGACGAGACGGTATGGGCACTTCTCGTGCTCGTTGTACGGACGTGGAAAACCATAACGGCGTGGTGACGGGGGGAACACCGCCCCCCCCCCACGGTTTTCCACGTCCGCACAACAAAGGAAGGCATAACTGAAATTTGAGAAATGGAATGAAGACGTTCGTCTACTTTTTCCGCCTCTTGTCATTGGGCCGACCAACTTCCTCACCTATTTCAGAGACATCATCGTCTTCGTCGATATTTGTCTGCATCGGAAAACTAATATGGAGAATACCTCTAAGACGAGACGGTATGGGCACTTCTCGTGCTCGTTGTGCGGACGTGGAAAACCATAACGGCGTGGTGACGGGGGGAACACTGCCCCCCCCCCCCCCCTTCTCGTTTTTGCTCGTTAAGGGCGAAGCTCATTGGCGTCACAACCGGAAGAAACGGGGCTATTTTCAAAGGTTTCCATTGACTAACCGTTTGGCAACGGTTCTTTTTAAAAAAAAAAAAATAGAAACTCTACGATATATCATGTATGCATTCCGCCACCCGGTTGAAGAACGAGACAATTTTTGTAAGAGAAGACAAGAAGGAGCATGTAAGGATGTGGAACGTGCTTTTGGAGTACTGAAGGCGAAGTGACATATAGTTGAACATGCAGCACGACCATTGGATTTAGAACCTCTACGATATATCATGTATGCATGTATCATAATGCATAACATGATAGTAGAAGATAAATGGAGAAATATTGCACACTATATCCCAACGGAGCCCAGACACGTTCAGTTTTAACCAGGAACAACAGGGTATTTGCATCGAGTTGTTGACATTCATGACGCAAATAAACACAGACAACTTCGAGAGGACTTGACGGATTATATCTTCTATGGTAACAATAACGATAACGAATAGCGTTTATTTTTTAAAAAAATGTTTTTTTTAACGAATAGCGTTGTATTTTTTTTTTGAATTTGGATGTTATGTGTAATTTAATTTCTATGTTATTTTTAATCTTTAAAAATTGTTTTTATTATATGTTATTTATAATTTTTAAACATTATGTTTTATTTATTATGTTATATTTAAAAAATATTTGTTTAAATTAAAAAAAAAAAATTCGAAAAAAAAAATTATAAAATGGAAAAAAGTTGGTGTTATAACAAGATGTAACATGGTGACCATTTCCCCACTTGGTGTTATAACACCATTGATGATGTGTCATGTGAGGTGGCACCAAAATAATGTTACATCTAGATGCCCACACCCAATGCTCTAAGTTCCAGGCAGTGAATTAAAGACAAAGCAATGAAAAAAAACAGTGTTGTAAGGCGGTGTTCATCTGATTGGACGATGGGTTGACGGTGGTTATCTGATTAGAGATGGAGGCGGTCAATACACCGCCATTTCCTTGTAACACCATTTTTCGTGTACTTCCTTTTTCTCATTTTTTTTGTTGATAATTCTCAATGAAAATGTCAACAATACGAACGCATATATTTACGACACCATCGATTCTGATTGTCAAATTCAATGAAAAAAAAATTACATGGGCTTTAGAAATTACGGTGGAATGTTGTGTTTTCTTCAAAAGTTTCCTAGATTATTGAAGCAACATCAATCTCGACTGTCAAATTCGATAAAAATCACACTGATTCCATCGGCCTTGCCATCTCCATCGCAAAAGCCCAAAATGATGTGCATCAGGGTAGAACCCTAGTTCGTGAAATTCTTTCCTTTCAAACACCAAACGAAACAATAGACGGGATAGCGATGCAGTGGTGTGTGTACAATTAGAAGCGGGATACATAGGGGGAATCAAAACTCGGCCGCGATTTTCAGCATTCCTTCGTCGATAAAAAAATAGAGTACAATCAATCTCCGATGAGTCACAGAGCACCCGTTGACCAACCAAAAGGAGCCACAAATATTCAACCACCACCATCTTTGGCCAGCCGATGAACAGTTGCCAGCTGGCTTCAGGTTACTGTTCATAAGCTTTTCCAAAATTAATATGTATATATAATTATCTATTATATAATAGATATGATATTTTTAATTTTTTTAAAATACTCATAAGATATAGTGGTTCGAATTGGATTATTCATGGGGCGGTTTTACAATAAAACCGAAACCAAACCGTTTGTATTTGGTTTATGAAAATCAAAAACCGCACCATCATTTTAAGTATTGGTTTGGGTTTTCGGTTTTGATGCTCACCCCAGTTAGTTCTCCATTAGTCTTTATTGGCAGTGAATTTCAGGATCATGCCACACCGCCCACACCTTAACTTTTCAAAGTTCTCGATTAGTCATTATTGGCAGAAAATTTCTGGATCGTGTCCCTACAATTTCAATGTAATTGCCTTGTATTATGTCGGGGATAAAATTAAATTTTATTTATTGGGTTCTTAGCGCTGTACATTACAAATTTGGAAGGTCTTGACTGTATTTTGAACTGGTTCATGAACCATATTTGCAATTAATAATTTTCATTATATGATTAAAGCAATTCATTTCAAAGAGAAGTCTGGAAAAAGATCTACAACGGACCAATAAAAAATCAAATTTATTCTTCAATTTGGAAAACCATCTAAACGCGAACTATAGTATATGGAATTAAATCTGCATTTGAAATATCAAATGCATACATGGGAATACATTTAGTGGTATAATATGTGGATCCAGCACATGTCGCAATTTGTTTGGCAGATATGAGCCCTTTAAATATATATATATCCTTCAAGGTTTTTCAAAGAGATCAAGGAAAGAAAAACCCGGCCGGACTTACTTGTCCTACAGTTCTACGTGGAGACGTCCTCTCAAGTCCTCCAATGATGCCCCGAAAGACCAAAGGTCGCCAAAAGATTCAGATGACAAGAATGGCGAAAGAAAGTAACTTATTGGTTACCTTCTCCAAACGTCGTGCTGGCCTTTTCAAGAAAGCAAGTGAACTAAGCATCTTGTGTGGGGTTGAAATCACAATCATCGTCTTTTCCCCCAGGTAAAAAGGTGTTCTCCTTTGGCCATCCATCTGTTGAGATGATTGTTGATCGCTTCCTCTCACAAAATCCTCCACCAAGTTCTAGCACATCTCAACTTATGGATGCTCATCGTAATGCCAAAATCCACGAACTCAATAGGCAACTTACTTATGTAATTAGTCAATCCGAGTTTGAGAAGAACAAAAGTGAACACCTTAGCGAGATCAGGAAAGCAGGCCAAGATAATCACTGGTGGGAAGCTCCAATTGAGAACCTGAGATTAACAGAACTTGAGCAGTTGAAAGTAGCAATGGAGGCGCTGAAAAAGAACATTGGAGAGCAGTCGAAAAGGCATCTGGTGGAGGCTGCAAACTCAATGCCAATTGTCCCAATCTCTGGTTCTATGGGGATAGCTGGGGACTCGGTTGAAGATAAAAGTTCTGGGCTTGGATTATCCATGACTTCTCATGGAGTATGGCCATTTCAGTCGTTGAATCAGGTGACTTTCTTTTCATTTTTTCAATTACAAAGATCCCTGAATTTAGCTATTTTGACTTTGTTTTTTTTCTTATACCACAAAGAGTTTGTTTTAATATTGAAAACTGATTTATAGTTTGTTTGTGTAACTAGTTTTTAACTCATTTTTAAAGGTGAAAATCGAGCAGATTAATATAAAAGATCCAAAAACTGCTATTAACTCTATATACCTGTAACTATTTTTTATTTTGTCTCTCTCTTAGTCTTTTGCTTAGAGCTTTAATCCATTGACTGCTGTTCCAAAAAAAATCTTAAGCCATGATTAACTATATCTTCTCTTATATAATTGTGAATAATATTTGATCTCCTGTGGTTTTCAAAAGGATAATCTTTCTCTATGCTAGCTTAAATATACAAAAGCACAAGTGGCTATATATTATTTATACTTAATTATGAACACGAATTACCAAAAAGTAAAAGTTGGTTTTATATAGAAGTAGATTTGGCTATAAATCACTGAAGAAAATTATGAAGATAATTAAGATCCTCAAGATGCATCTAATTTCTCTAATATTTTAGACGGTAATTTAAACTCTTACCTCCTCAGATCTAGACTCCATGAAAAGTAACATGCTTTTTTAACGCAATAACATGTAAGAATTCAATATTATTTTTACATTCATGTATTTGATCTAGTGAGTAGGAGGGTAAGTAGGAAGCAAATATAGGAAGATATTTGATTTCTCATTTGGAAATATTATCTCTAACTTTTTTAAGGCATAATTCTTTCACTGGCATTTGTGCTACTACAAGCCAGAACATGTGGCTAGCTTGTAGTAGCTAGACATTTCAATTTAATTCAAAGCGTTCTCTTTTGTGTTTATTTTAGAAAAACCAAAAGTGACCATCTGATCATATGAACTTTATTGTTCCAATAATGAAATTTGAAGTATGACATGGTGAAATTTTTTGACAATTATCTGCCATATATAACACTGGAAGCTAAATCGTATTTAGATATTCTAAATTCATGACTCTTCCTCTGATCAGGCTTCTAGTTCAAGACACTTGGAGATTGATGGGAGTAACTCAAGAAGGTTTTAAAGCTATGGAGTGGCTGGTGTGCTTTGCAAGGGAGTAATTCTATGTTATTCTAGAGTTTATTTGTATTTTGTCTTTCGAACTCTCTAAGTATCAATTTTATGGGATAATTTTATTTCTATCTTGTTTGTTCTTTTATCAGTTCACTAAAACTTGCAAAGTGGCAAAAAAAAAAAAACCCTTATGATGGTGGCAAGTCTAGTTGTTATTCAATGGATGAAACTTTACCATTATGAGACAACACCTTTGACATTAAATAGATTTGAAGTTCAATGGGAAAAATGAAAGTTTCTAATTCTTAAATATATATTATAAATTGGTTTTTGTAATATTTTATTGAATTTTGTAGAGTTCAATACATTGTAGAAAAAAAAATGATAGAGTTGTATGAAATGTATAATGATGTGGCAATATATTTAACTCTATGAAATTATTGTGCATTTTGGCTTCCCTAATAGTTCATATGCTAGTCATATGAGCCTCCTATATGATGTTAGTTTTGGAAAAGGTTTTTAACCATGCATTGTCAGTTTTTTGGTGAAATGACTTCAAAATAGTTCGATATCCAATATATGTTTTATTTACATCATAATGTTTAACAACAAGAGCATTCTATTAAAAACCGGCCAGTGAGAAGTTAGAGATAGATCGAAACAAAACAGTTGTGGATGAGATTTACATGTGCACCAGCTGTCCTAAATCAACAATGACCCATTTTCATCTAATCATGGCCAATGGAAAGCAGCCACCAAGATGGCCACAAATTTTTTTTTTTTGATATTTTTGAATTTGGAGTTGTACACACAATGGTTTTACTTTCCGAGTTCCCTCTCTAAAAGAAATTGTTCCTAACGTTTTCAAGTCTTTTACTGATCGTAGACCAGGCTCTGTAAAAAGATAACATGCTCGAACCAAGGCTTCCAAGAACAACATTGCAATTGACTAGGCAACCTCTGTAAGATAAGTTCCTATAGAGTTCCATCTCGAGAACTTGCTTTGGAATTTTTCAATGAGGGAGGCCAATTGGAAGTTCTATTCATATTTGTTTCATGAGGGAATCCAAGGTAAGTAACATGGAAGGGTGTCATACTGTCATTGGCATAATTCATCTGTCTAGACATATTCAAAAATTTCCTCATATGTGAAATCGATTCCGAACACTATATTTTTTTAAAAATATTAACTTTGAGGCCAGCTGTAAGGTGGAAGCTTCTAAGAATCCATCTATCTCTTATAAAGGAGACCATTGAAATGAATGTGATTCAAGATAAATGATCTATGTTGAAGCATATTCATTTGAAACTATCAATTCTTCATCTTACTACTTAAATGATTATTTAATTGAAATATTTGACCTATATAAGAAACACGAGCTTCTCTTCTCTTTTCATTTTGCTTTTATCTTCTATTTTTCATTTTTTTTATTTAGAGTGCATGATAATAGAGAAGTTTCAAATAAGTTTGCTTTCTTCTTTCCATATCTTTTTTTCCTTGTAGTTTCTTAATATTCCATAAGAATTTTGTTGTGTACAGGAGTAAATCCAAAAGTTTTTTGTATTTAAAGATGATGAAGAATTGTCTCAATTTTGTACATTTTAGAGAAAAAAAAAGTGTCGTCAATTTTGAAGTGTTATATGTTAAAAGTGTTGTGAATTTTGATAATGAAGAATTTTTACGGCATTTAGAGCTAGCATAAAAGTGTTGTGAATTTTGATGATTTTGAAGTGTGTTTAAACCAGAATTGTGTTTTGATGAGTTATCTTCACAGTGATGAAATAAGTACATGAAGACACTACAAATATTAGTGTGTTTGAAGTGTGTTTTTGAAAGAAAAAAAATGAAATCATGAATTGGACTTTTATAGGTTTTATTCACATTAATGAAAATATAAATATCCCAATTCATTTGTTTTATGGCTCAGTTTTGTGTGGATATTGAATAAAAAGGAATGAAGATTCTATGAATGTTATTGTTATTATTTTTTTGTCGTTGTCGTGATTATTATCTTAATGACATAATTCTTTTAACTCTTATATTTTTAAGAGTTGTAATTTGAAGTTTTTCAACATCATAGCGTTCAACTTCCAATTTTTTTTATTACAAAAAGGTTTTTTGAAGAATTTATATTTTGATGATTGTGTTACTATAATTTAATACACATAAATATGATTAATCTTATTGATTGTATACTAGGGTTGAAAGTTATCGACTGTTAATTGTAAACATATGCAAATTATTATTTTTAAAATTGTAGGGCCATAAGTTTATATATATTGCATCTTCCAATCATCTTTTTTATAATTTAATACATATAAATGTGAATAAATTTATTTGGTAGTTATGAATTTTCTTTTAAACATATAACTATGTATTATATATATTTGATCAATATGTTTGTAAAGCAAAAATAACATACACTCTCATATAAATAAATACACACAAAATAATAGATGCACTTAATTTAGTTTTTAATAATTGGTTTGAAAGCTTTTGATATATTATTTTGTCTAGGCGTTAGATGATTATATTATTCATTTAATTTACTAAACATAATTCAAATATTTTAATCATATTTAATTAAGTCTCATAAGTATCAATTTAATTTACTAAACATAATTTAAATATTTTAGTGATATTTAATTAAGTCTCATAAATATCAATTAAGTATCATGAACGAATACATCTTAGCTATCATTGTACAACAAATGAGAAGGCAAACGAGCAATAAGTTGCATCACTAAACCTTTTTATATGGTAAAACCAATTCATTTGAAGACTACATCCATAGATCTAGGGGATATAACATTGCTATGCATGATCCGTTGTACTCTACTAAGAAGCTCCACCGCATCCGGCACAAGGAAACAAAATGTATCAAATACAAAAAGATATGAACACGTGTTGATTTTCCACACATGATTTCTCATGTTTGGTAACCTTGCATGTAGCAGCTTCTAACCCCCCCAAAACCCCATTTTCGTAGAGTACGCTATCAGTGCCCAAACCCTATTTTCATGGTTTGAGCCCTATTTAAGCTCCTTAACTCCCCCAAAACCATCCCATTCTCCCCCTCCACCTCTCCAACACCCTTCCATGAAACCCTAACCCTAATTTGAATACTGTGGGGTAAAAGAAGGTGTTTTTGAGTGCTTTGGAGTATGCTGGTGCACCTTGGAGAAGAAGGAACTTCTTGTAGAAGTGTTGTTTGCATTGGAGCTTGTAGATCTGGACTTTGTTCACCTTGATCTCTCTTCTAAAGGTATAAAGTTTGAATCTTAATGATGCATTTGTTAGATCTAGCTAGTTTTGGATGTTATGAGCTTTTGGTTATTTTAGTGCATAAAGTTTAGACCTTGAAAGTTTATGACCTTGTTATGGATAAAGTTGGAAACTTTATCCATCTAAACATCATTGTGATTCAGATTTGAAGGTTAGAGACTTGGACTTAATGGATTATCTAAGCTTTACTGCATGTAATTGTATTCGTGAAGTAGTTAACTGAGATTCATAGAGGTCCTTCAGCAGCTGATGGCAGGGTGAGGTAGGAATCCTAGGAGAGCCTATGAAGCGCTTTAGTGCGAGTGATGCGCTGTTCAGCAGATTTTAGAGGGTATCATTATGAGCAAGTGACTTAGAGGATTCGAGATTATTCTGAGAAGAGTACGGATAAGTGTGGAAGGTAGTATTGGGCCTGTACTACTGGAAGCACACGATCCATACTCGAATCAAGTAAAGTCCCTAAAATTCTAAAGAGATGTTTGAGGGTAGGAACATGGTTTGGCACCATGAACTTGTTGCAACATTTTAGTTATTATCAGCTTTTCGGTTATGGCTATCACGGAAGAAGACGTGCCTGATGATTATTGGGACCTGAGTGGCCATATCAACGGGATTGAATGATGCAGACCATGATGAGTAGTCAATTTCGAGGTCTTAGGGCACTACTTAAGGTAGTGCCAGTCTGAGTCGTGGGACTCAATGAGGGAGCGGTTGGGATGAGCGGCTTGAGGATTGCAGTCTTGAGATTGAGTGATCGGTCGATGGCTTATGATGACATTTTCTATGACGAGGATTATATTCTTAATTTTTTTTTCATGTGTGGAAAGAGAGTCATTTTCGTGGAGACTGTACACGATGAGGACCAGGGTTATGCTTTCCTTGAGTTTAGTTAGAGAGTGTTTTGGCAGGTTGTTCCAGATGATCAGGAAAAGTGAATCGGGAACAACAACTTTTGTTGTGTCTCAACTGTGAGGATGATGCCTCATGTTCTATGATTGTGTCTCGCGATGGACTGAAGGCCAGGGATTCAGAGGCGAAGTTTATGGTAGTCCAATTGTTCTTGATAGAGAATCAATGTTATGAATGGGCTATTAGAGTTATTGCTTGTGCTTTGAATGGGATTCTTGATGATAGAGGCGGTTAGGTCTGGGAAGTTTTCGAGGTCTCCATCTGAGATTCAGAATGTCTTTGCATTGCTAGATCTTTATCTAGGAGATTATCTTGCGCTGTGTTATACATTCCAAGAGTCATGGATGGTATGTATCTGGCTGAGTTGGTTTGATTTGGGTTTGTATGCAATATCAGTTGGTGATAGTTCAAACCTAAGTGGGGGAGAACTGGGCATGCTACTTGAAAGATCGATCATCAATATGTTTGAGCTCGCGGTTTCAGAAGAAGGGGTTATAGGGATTTGTGGTCCAGATATACGAGGCTTTGGTTCAATATGTGGTCAATACGGGGTGTAAAGCAAGTTAACCTTTGTTGTATGAGCTTAGGAATGCACGAGTTGTTTTAGTAGCAGGAGATGTTGGTCCGGGAGCTCGTTGTAGTTAGTGGTTCTTTCGGGTTCGCTGATTTTTAGGTCATGAGTCATTTGGGTCACTCAGGTTGAATATCGATGTTTGAAGGATTTGCCAGCATGGTATAGATTGCTACCTTTAGTCTGAGATAAACAGTGGTTAGTCTGTCAATCAACTTCAGGGTTGGGTATATGTAGCTCTGCA